TACTTTGGAAATTTATATTTACTAAATAAAAGTTTAAAAAAGAAACAAAGCTAAGATGAGTTCAGCCCCTACATTTAGTGTTGAAAAACAGATGACACACAAGGGGACCTTCCTGACAAGGTGAGGTTCGTGAGAGATCCCAGTGTCTTGTCACAGAGCTCTTTTTCTGTTTTGCCAGGATTGTGTGCCAATTGGGAGGTCTGACACTGTGTTAACTGTGGTGAATCTGACTTTAAAGGGCAGGAAGGTTACTATGCCCAGACCCTCTCCTCTGTCCACCGTCCTTTATTTCTTTGCACAAAGTAATTTTTGCTCAGCTTGAGTGCTCAAAAGCAGCTGATATTCACAGGCCATAGGAACTCTCTGATAAAACATAACTCTAGCTCACATGGGACATAAACGTTTACTACGCTTTGATCGATCTTATGACAGGATAAGTTTCTTATCACATATCTGGACTCCTGGTTATGAGAGAGAACTTGCTAAACAAATGATGTGTAAAGTGGTCAAACCAGTTCATGTCTATGAAGGATATTCAGTTTGGTAAATTGAGTGACAGCAGTGATCAAATGCGTGTTGACGTGTCAGCTAGTGTTATCTGGGCTCACGAGCTGCAGTGGTGCCTCCTGGAGCAGTTTTCTCGTGAGATATGAAGGTTGTGGGGATAGAAAGGAAATGAACTAAGAGGACCATGGCTGATGGTCTTGGGCAATGGTGGAAGAGGAGGAAGCCATGATCTCCAGTTTTACTCTTAGCAGCTGGGTGAGTGGGAGTCCCTCCCTGGACAGAGTTCCCTGTAGGTCAGGCGCACTGGTGGAGACATGAAGAGGGGCAAATGTGGGAAATTTACAGGCCTGGCACTCAGAGGAGGGAAGTCACTGAAGAAGTAGACTTGCAGACTGTAAATCTGTCCCCATGGCTGGAGCCCCAGAGAAGACGCTGTCCTCCGTGGAGGGTGGGGCTGAGAACTGACAGGACAGAAGGCTGACAGCTGGATAACACCTACTGAAGGCTCTGGGGAAACATGCATATTCGGTTTCTTTGGTGAAAATGTTTTACATGTCAGGTTACAGATTGGTGACTTTACCTGTCCATTCATACTGCCTGCTCACCCATGCTTTAATCTTTAAAAATGAAATTATTGCCAAACGACTCCATTCCTGTAAGTACAAGCACCAATATCACTAAGAACAACAGGATCAAAGTTTTAAGGACCAGAGAGTGGGCCTGATGGGCTCCCCACCCCAGACTGGTGACCTGTGCACTGCTTTGTCACCTGGTGACTTCCTCCCAGCAGGTCTCCAAGTGGCCAACAGGTGAACACCCCTGGCCTTCTTCACGTCAATGCCTGGGTTTATCCTCTTCTTGTATTTTCCATCAGTGCTTCTGAGTCTTTAAAAATGCAACAGAAAGACTTCAAGGCCACATAGCATTTATAGTTTATTGCCAGCTCATCTTTTTGACCAACAGTAGCAGCCAAACTTAAAAGTAAGGAGAACACCTAGGAATTAAAGGCAATTAGACTATTTTAAGGGACCATTTATTGAGATGAACTGAACCAATTTCAGATCGATGTGGCTAGTTTGTCTAGAATAACTAGAAGAAAACAACAAAAAAAAAAAGTTCAGGGAGAATGAGGGGAAAAGCAGTGGAACAAATTGAAAGAGATGGGAGTTATGTCATCCATCCCTTATTACTGGGTTATATCCAGGGGATTAAAAAATGATTTCTTACCCATTTTAGAAATATGTTAAGTGTCCTGCAGTATTGGAGAGCATTTTCCACCACTGTTATGGAAGCATGCTAACAAGACTGGCTGTTCTGGGATCAGAAAGACATCATGTTGGCTTGTTTTACTTGCACAATTTAAGGAAAAAACACTCTAACCTCAAGTTACTCCCCATTTTCTTAGCTGATGTGTTGCACGTTGCCATTGCATGCTGCTTTGGAAGAGCTCAGGACAGTGACAGCGAGAGTCACTGTGTCAAATTGGAAGCAAAAGTGGAGAATGTGCACAGATTAATCTAAAAACTAAGGTGCAGATTTACCTTTGATGCAAGAGGGGAAGAGTTGTAAGCGGTTCTCAAACTGTGTGGCTGGACAGCTCTGCCCAGCTTTTGGTAGGAGCAGGGCTAGTCTGAACATCCCAGACCGTTTGGCTGTCCACAGTCTTGTCCATGCTGTGACCACTCGCTGTGCCTGTGTAACCCACACGGAGCACCGACGACTGCTCACAGATGTCCTACTTTCAGGTGTCGGGGTGACGATAGACACAGCACAGCGAAGCCTGCCATGGGGCCTCTCTTAATCCGTCTTGTTCTGCTACAACGCATATGTGAGACTGGCAAGTTTGTAGAGAGCAGAGATGGACTTTACAGCTCTGCAGGCTGGGAAGTCCAAGGTGGGGGTCCTCCTGGGAGGGCTTTGTCGCTGCGCCATCATCCCTTGGTGGGAGGTAGGAGAGACTGAGAGGGAGGGCAGAGGGAGGAGAGGCAAAGACGGAGAGCGAGTGAGCAAGCTGAACTCACCCTTCCATCAGGAACGCACTCCGGCAAACCTCGCCCACTCCTGTGATAGCGGCGTTAATCCATTCGTGAGGGCAGTGCCGTCTCCCAGTCACTTCTTGCAGGTGCCACCTCTCAAGACTGTCGCAGTGGGAGTTCAGTTTTGGGGAGCACAGTCAGACCACAGCAGGGGCCCCCGTGTGGATGATGGTATGTGGAGCTGTGTTCTGGGTCCCTGCCGACACAGCTAGGGTGACCCTTCCAAGGATTAGGTGATTCAAGGAGCTAGAATACAATATTGTTTCATATTTCAGTGTACCTGGCATCCTTATAAACTTTTATTTACATGAAGATAAATTATCTTTTATTTTCATAGTATCTATAATTACCAAATAATTATTTAAAATTATTTAGTAGTTTTTGTTCTGCAGAGTGGGTCGTTGTCTGCTGTTCTCAAGCAGATTAAAAACTTGACACTGTTGGGCCTGGCATGTGGCACAGTGAGTTTGTGTGTGATGCCAGCTACTCTGCTTCTGATCTGGCTCCCTGCTGATGTGCCTGGGAAAGCAAGTGTTTGGGCCCCTGCCACCCACGTGGTTGACCAAGATGCAGTTTCAGGTCCTGGCTTTGGCCTGGCCCAGCTCCAGCTGTTGCAGCCATTTGGGGAATGAACCTATGGATGGAAAATCTCTCTCTCTCTCTCTCCCCGCCCCCAACTCTGTCCCTCCACCCCCCATGTGTGTGTCTGTGTGTGTGTGATCGGTTTGCACACAGTAACCAAAACCAAATCCTTGCTCCCTATCAGACATTCTTAATCGTATTACTAACATGCACAGCTATGTGAAATTATGTCATTTGCTTGCTGGTTCCTTGTTCGTTTCCCATCACAAAGATGTGAACTGGAAAGCAAGGACGCCTGATGGCCTCGCTCTCTGCTGGGTTCTAGAGGGCCTCACCCGCAGCACCTGACGCAGAAAGGGACTAAGCAGGTGTTAGCTGTGATGAGTGGGTGAGTGAGTGAGTGAGTGCGTGCGTGCGTGCTGTGTCTCAGAGCCTCAGCGTCTCAGGCCTGGAGGACCTTGACCTTTCTTCCGGAGGAGGGCAGTATGGTTTGCTGTCGAGCCACTTGGGATGCTGAAGCTGCAGCCCTGACAGCGCCGGGCCTCTGACTTCCAGGCCTGGTTTGCTTTGGGATGCAGTTCAGTTTTGATCAATGACGGTTTTTGATTTGGGGAAAACAGAACCTCTTCTTCCTCACCTGCATTCTTGGGCAATTCTGATCCTAATCAGAGTACATTGTAGTAATGAGAAATCACTGTGCATGATAGGCACCTACTGGGTAAAAGTAAAAATCTGAATGTGTATTCGTGTAACCACTGCATAAAACACACCCGTGCCAACAGACAGGAGTCCACGGACAGAGCTGGTGCTGATTTGAAATGTAGTTCATCTTTTCATGTAAAATGAAAGCTAATAGAAGATGATTCTTACTTAGCTGTTGCGGATTCTGCCAGTGGAGTTTCGCGTGTTCACCATCCCTTCCGCCTGCTCCTCCTCCTCCCTGGGGTGGAGACATCCTGACGATGAGTCCGTACCAGTTGTGCATCGCTTCTTCAGGTGTTCTTTCCTTTCAGAGAGACAGTGTTCGCTTCTGGGATCGCTTTAAATATTACTTGGAATAATTTGTTGGTTTTACAAAGGCTCTGCAATATGATCCTACAAATACAAATTTGACCCTGCTGTCCTCACACAACCCAGCCCAGGCCCCTGAAATCCCATGGCCATCATTTCTATTCTACGATGCAGATGGTTCCCCCCAAAGAAACTTGTTGTTCTTCTGCACTAAATGAATCATTCAAGATGTTTTGCAAAGAGCTTACAGTCACTACTGATTGGTAAGCGAGGAGCAAAAGACTCCTAATTCTTTTGGGTCCTCCACTAAATCTTTCCGTATTGCAGTGCTGGGAAACAAAATGAAACTGAAGCTGTGTTCGATCCTGAGCTTATTCCCAAGCTTGCATGAGCTAAAACATCTTTGCTTTGAACGTTGTTATATAGTCTGTTAGCAGGCCTTTTAAGATTATTCCAACTGGTTGGAAATGTATTAAAATATTATGGTGTCCGAGACAAAATTGAAGAAGAGGTACACAGGAAAACATCACTTGTACCCCCATTTTAATTGATTTCTTCTTTTTGGATATTTGAATTAAGCCAAACTTTGAAAACACATCCACGAAGGGTCTGGTGCTGACGGAACCGAGCGCTTGTTCCCCACATCCCCTGGGCTGTGGGGTGGTCTCCCTCCCTTCCCGGGGCATCACGGGCATTCATTCCCCTGCTCTGCCTGCGACGCGCAGGCCTCCCTTTCGGCTAACACCCACTTCCGCTGTTTCTGTATGAACCGCCCCTCCTTTGTCTCCAGAAAGACACGTTCCTTCCTTATGTTTGCCTCTGGTCACCCTGTGTGGATATTGATGCGATGTGTGTCTACCCCAGCAGTGAACTGACCGCATCTACTGGAGTTAGAGACGGACTTGCTCCCGGTTCCCAGCGGCTGGAACGCTCCCTGGTGCACAGCAGGCTCTCAGCGATTCTTCAGTGATTTCTGGGCACTCGAGAGAATTCATGAGCAATAGAAGTCAATGACTTACTATTTGTATTAATTTGCTAAATGAGAAAGGCATGGTAAGTATTAAGATTCTTCCCATATGTCTTAAGTATCCTCGTTTATGAAAACAAGAAAAAAACCTTTGAGGAATAAGAAACACCAGGGGAAAATTAGCATTGTTCCATTGTTCACCGTTCAAGTATAATAAACACATGCTGGGATTTAGCTTAAAATGGGGTGGGAAATTAGACTGTACACTACCATCTAACGAAAACAAAACACCTGGACATTTGTGATGACTCACTGCCCTCCAAAGGTTTAGTGTCTTTTTTACAGATAGTGAGAGAGGAGGTCACAGGAGGCTGAGTTTAGCAGGCTCCACACCCAGTAGACTCTCCAAGCGTACCTGCTGGTGGGTCCTAAGTGGCCTGGGAGTGCGTTTACAGAGCGTCTGTTTGCGTTGTATCCTTCCCTCCACACCCTACCGCCCCTGTAGCTGAACTTCCCCTTTGAAACACGTACACCAACGCGGACATCCAGTTATCTTTACTGGTGCGTAACAAATGATGTAGATGTGTGTGTGTGTGTGTGTGTGCGCGTGCGCGCGTGTGAAGTCCATGTTACGATACTGGATAGTAATAGCGTCTGCCCTGGGCACTGCTGTGGTCTGAGTGTGTGTCCCTCATCAGCAATAGCGTCTGTCCCGGGCACTGCTGTGGTCTGAGTGTGTGTCCCTCAGATTCCTGTGCTGTGATCCCAGCTCCCAGGTGGGACGATAGTAGGTCCTGAGGGTAGAGCCTTCAGGAAAGGAATCAGTGGCTCCGAAATCAGGCCCCAGAGAGCTGCTTGCTGCTTCCACCCACTGAGGCGTCCGCTGTGAACTGGAGATGAAGCTCTCAGCAGAGCTGCCAGCTTCCAGAACAGGAGCAACAGCCCGCCGTGGTGCTACGCCACCCTGTCTCCGGCACCGGGGGATAGCGGCCCACAGAGACGAAACAGCCGACACGCGCTGGCCGTGTGCAGCGAAAGCACTGTTCGCGATCTCGTCTGTTGCTTGTAAGTCCCTGAAGCAGCGTGTGGTTTCCTTTTCTCAGACAGAGGCTCAGGGAGCAGGAACCATCTCCGAGCAGCTGCCTCCAACAGGCGATGAATGCCTGGTGAACCTTTCAACATTTTTGTTAATACAGTAGAATCCTTTGAAAACTGCTCCTTGTTCCCTGGAGAGGTGGAGCTGTTGAATTCCCCACAGAGCGAGCCGACCTTGCTTTGGTGGTGGAGGGTGCCTTAGACACCAACAAGATGATCAACCTGCAGAACCAGGAAGCAACCGTGGACTGGAAGGTCGGTATCTCAGAGCAGCTGTCGAAGCTTCCGACAGAAGCATTTAGAGTGCTCTGGGGAGGGCCGTGTCTTGCCGGAGACTGCCAGGTCTCTCCTCCTGCACCGGGTCTGTGTTGGTGCTGCCAGAAGCCTACGTGCTTCGCCTGTTTGCGTGAGGGAGAGAGAACTGTGCACATGGATGGCTCAGGTGGTCGTGAGACCCGACCAGAGCAGAAGGGAAGTGCACATCGGATCCTCCATCTTCCTCTAAGAAACACTGACAAGGAAAATGGGCCACCCTTGGCTTACTGACTTAGCTTCCTTCTGGCTTCCCAACACAAAGGGTGTTGCTTCAGCGCAATTACCAGGGCCTTGGGAAATGTCCCGAGCTGCCCCTTGCGTCTCCTTGTCTGGCTCTTGGCCGCTGCAGGAGGGGCCTCTCCCTGGGGGAATGTTGTTCCCACTGCCCTGTCCGTGTGGGCAAATGCTGGAGGGGAGGAGGCAGAGTTGGAAGCTGGGGTGTGGAGCTCGGACTTGGAAATCCGACTCTTCTCTGCTGCTGTGGGTGGTGTAGGGTCAGTGTGTGCCACTCGGACGTCACACGCTTCCCACTGGCAAGTAGAAGTGAACAGAGGTGCTCAGGCCTCGGCCACTGGGTGCTGTGTGACTACTCAGGGTGCTGTGCCTGCCTGGGGCACAGCCAGGAGAACACATCTTTCTGCCATCTGGACACGTGCTTGGGGGGTGAGTGAGGTGAGGGACAGAGCGCCTGAAGCAGGTGTGGTCCTGAGACAGCTCGGCCAGCACCGCTTAGCATGGTGGGTCTACGCCGTGTCCACTCGGCTTCTCTGAAGCGACGCTCCTGTGTGTTTCCTGGTGGCACTGACCACAGGAGACGCGCGGGTGTGAGATGTGGAGGCAGGAGCGAAGCAGCGGCACTGGATCTCGCTGCGGATCTGCAGCCCAGGTTTCTGGGATGGGACTGGGGCTGGCGTCTGGCTCCTGCAGCCCCTCTCCTCCTGGCTTCCTCCAGCTTCGTGGCGTCCTGGCCAGGCAGGAATGCGGCTTCCCTGAGAAGTGAGTGACAGCCTTCTGCAAGGCACCTGCGTCTCAGGGCGGGGAACTGCCAGTGCTGCTGGTGTCTGGTTTGACCTGTCGCAGCTCATGTTCTGTCCACACCGTCAGCCCTGGGGACCTAGGGTAACTTCAGGCCCCCCACAAGAGGCAGGGGCAGTGGCCTTCCATGAACTTCGTCGGTAATGAATCCCTTACTCCATGGGAGTTAGTGTGTTTCTACTTCCCCAGTCCCATCCTAACCTGTATGTTCAGGAGAACCTGAAGACTGGAGAGACATATCTGGGTTATTTATATATTTGGTAAAATGTTCGAGAATACTGTGACTATTATGGAATTAGAAAGAATGCTTAAAGCATTGGTGAATCTTGTTCTAGTCACACTTCCCTTTGAAGTGTAGCTATTCATCACCTTAAGCACGAGTGTGCGTCACCTGGGTCAATAGCATCCAATGACAAGCCAGGAGCACTTTGTGAGATGCAAATTCAAGTAGCATTATATCAGATTCAGGTTCAGAGATGGTTTATATGATGATTGTTATTCACTCCACAAAAGGACGTTAGTTCAAATGCACAAGTGCTTACCATTCTAGTCTAGTCAGTGTTTTGGCACACTCTCTGTGCATGGTGCTAGATGCTAGGGACATATGTAGAGAACAAAGACTGAGCTCCTTAGGGTTCTCCACCTGGAGGAATCTGACCCCTGCTGACCCTGTCAGCTGCTCCGTCTGGCCATTTGTCGCCACGGCTAACAGCTGGAGGTGCGACTCAGGAGGGAACGGCTGTTGATTGTCCAGGGCTCTCCTCTGGCCCTCGTCACTCAGGATTCCCGTCCTTGGATTCACACTCTCCATTCCAACCTGTTCTGCTCCTCCCTGATTTTCAGCTTACTGCATCTCTATTTCTCACTGGGCTTTGCTTCCTCCTTGCCTCTGGCACCTTCTGCTGTCTTTTCCAGTTCTAGCCTGAGGAACCCAGGGATAGGTTAGTTCCAGCCAGTCTCCTCGCTGAGAGAGGTGCGGCTAAGGGAGGAGACGGAGTTGAACTACAGAAATGTAACCAAACAAGTGCTCCGCTGTTCCTGTCTACCATGGAACACATTTGTTGCCGGTGATGTGATCAGCACTGCCAAGCGTGACTCCATCCACTTCCTGCCCCGTAGCTATGTATCCACGAAGCTATGTATCCATGTCTGCACTCTGCCACCGGTCCATTCATTCTACAAATATGTATGGTGCAGCCACCCACGGGGCACCCACCGTCCTGCGCATGTCTCTTCTGCTGTTGCAGGCTGCTACCCAGGCTGCAGAGAGCAAGATGAGGCAGTGGATGTGCGTGGGTCGTAGATCTGTGTGGGTCCAAGTCTTGACTCCCATTCCTGTTTGACTTAGATTCTTCATTCATAAAAGGGAGATAACCACACCAACCTCCCAGCAGCGTTAAAAGGCTAATGTGAAAAACCACCCAGTGTTGGAACAGGTAAACACTCGGTGTGCATAGCTATCGTCACTGGTGATGATTCCATCTTTCCATGTGGGGAGGCCAGCGTCTGGGTTCCGCTGTGTGTTCACCTCTCCTTGCCGTGACGCAGCCTGTCCTGGTGCTGTGTCGCACTTGGTTTAGCTCTGCCTCTCTAGCTGCTCCCCTGGTCGTTCTGCCGTTGCATCCAGTTGCTCAGATGCGTGCACACCCACTGCTAGTACTTCCTTTCATCTAATTCATTCCAGCGCCACGGTCGCTTTGCTTCTCCTCTCTGAGTCCCTGCAGCATCCCCGAGACTTCCTCTTCCACACACTGCTCTTTCTGGCTTTGTTTCACGTCCCAGCCCCGGCTCAGTTACTGCTGCAGCTTTCTCCCATGCGTAGGTGGTGCTTGTAGAGTTCGGCGGTTTCTAAATCGTTACCTAATCTGTAATCCTCCTGGGGGCCCCAGGGAGAGAAGGGAGGACACCCCCAGAGAGCACGGGGCAGTAGGGCCTGAGCACCGCGCCCACTTTGAGCAGGAAGGCCACTGGAAGAAGGAAATGCCCAAACCTGCAGAGGAAATTGCAGAAGGAAGAGGAAGAAGGAAAGGTGTTGGACTTGCCGGCAGCGGCTGAGAGTGACTCAGACTGAATGGCCCTCAGGGAACTCCCCAGGGGAGAGGGATCCACGCCTGTCTCCCACCAGGAGCACCCGCACTGCTATGGGTGGCAGGCAAACAGATTTCTTGATTGATGCCAGAGCTACTTTCTGAGCTGTAAAGACTAGACTGAGTAAACTGACCAGAAACCGAGTCTGACCACGACTGGCGTTTTGGGAAAGCCATTGCCAAGCCTCCCCTGCAGCCCCTAGACTGTCAACAGGAGCTACCAGCCTACAGCCCATCTCTCTGCTGGGATGCGACGTGTTAGCCAACTCGAATGCCCACGTGACTCTTTCTGCAGAGCGGCTGGCCCTGGCAGGCCGGCGCTCTGCAAGCTGCTCTTCTGCGTCAGCACCCTGAAGCCATCTTGTGGGTGAGTCCAGGAGCACGGCTGAGGAGAAGCCAGGCAGAGCAAGAGCTGCTGTAGCTGTGAAGGCGAAGGTGAAGCTGGGGCAGAGGTCCCCGGGGAAAGCAGCCCCCTTCTGGGCACAGGCAAGAAGGGGCTGCAACCCCTGGCTATGGCCTTCCTGGAACATGGCTGCATCTCCCATAACACTCCTGTCCTTCCTGTTGAGATGCATGGCACAGACAAGCACCATTTCCCTGAAGATTTGAGGGCTGAAAGTCTAATAACTGGGACGTACACCCCACAGTTCCAAATCCCTACATGCTACCTGTGTTGGCATTAGAGGATGGATTTCATTGTGTCTTTTGGACTGTGAGTCACAGAGATATTTGCCTTTGCATGGGAAGACCCAGACACGAGGAGGAAATAGCAAAATTGATGGACTGTTGGGCTCCAGGGTTTCAGAACACACACCCTCTCGCCCCACCCCAGCTCCTTTGTCCAGGGAGGTAGTTGCCAAGGACTTAGAAGAACTCCAACCTCAGGAGGGCGTAGCCCTCAGCCATAACCCATACCTTCTGCCTTGGAAGAGGTAAGAGGGTAAATACCTACACCAACTCTCAGTATGCTTTTTTCCATATTGCGTGCCCATGGGGCTGTTTGGAAGGAAAGAGGATTGTTGACTTGAGGAAAGAAAGAAATGCAAGATGCTAAAGAGGCCCTGGGGAGCCAAGCACGGTGGCAGTCATGCACTGTGCCAGGCGTGGGAATTGGATGCCACAGGAAGTAACAGGTCCAGCCAGGCAGCAAAGGGACTGCAAAAGCCAAGAGCCCTTTGGTGACCACTTTCATTCCAGCTGTAGATCCCATGCAGCCCAAGCCCTTTCATTCCCCGAGGGACCTCACACAATCTCAGGAATGGGATTTTGATCCAACAGATCCAAGACCTGGTACCTGATTGGTAAATGATTGAGGAGTGATTTTCGTGCCTTAAAAAAATTTTTTTAAAGATTTTTATTATTTATTTGAGAGGTAGAGTTACAGACAGAGAGAGGGAGAGACAGAAAGAAAGGTCTTCCGTATGCTGGTTTGCTCATCAAATGGCTGCAATAGCCGGAGCCAAGCTGATCCAATGCCAGGAAACAGGAGCTTCTTCCAGGTCTCCCACATGGGGCAGGGGCCCAAGCACTTGGGAGATCTTCCGCTGCCTTCCCAGGCCATAAGCAGAGAGCTGGATTGGAAGAGGAGCAGCCAGGACAGGGGATGCCAACACTGCAGGTGGAGGCTTAGCCCACTACACCACAGTGCCGGCCCCTTGGGGCCTGAACATTTGATGAATTAATTAAGCCCACTAACCAAAGCACCCACCATAGATGGGATGTCCCCTCCAATGGATTATGGAACCTGTCGTCAGCTCAGATATGCAGAGAACCATACAGGGAGTCACTCACAAGCGCATGACCTGTGCTCAGAACAGCCCAGAGTTCCTGCGCAGCTGGGAGTGCAGGCTGGTGGACAGAGTCCAGAGAGGCAGCAGACATTATCCTAATGCCCAGGCAGCAGGAAAGGTCAAGGCTCTGCCAGTGATGGCAGGCACTGCCACTGCAGGCGGAGGCTCGGCCTCCTGCCACTCAGGAAAGCCATCGGAAGTGGTTGACGTCTTGTTACAGGGAAAACTCCCCAGGTTTGGCTTGCCTCGCTCAGTTCAGAGCAATAATGGAAGTGCCTTCTTCGCTAGCATTTTGCAAAGGGAATCTAGACATCTGGGAAGTTACTGGAACCTGTGTGCCTCCTGGAGACCTCAGACAACAAGGAAGACTGAAAGAAGGACACAGCTAAAATATGCCAAGAAACCACCTCGACTCAGATGAGGTTCTGAGGGTTGCACCGCGTGGAATCGGAGTAGCCCCCTGGGTGGACGGTGGGAGACCCTTCCTCTATTCCCAGCACCCCGATAAACAATCTGACTTAAAGCTGAAAGCACTGGGCATTGTTGGGTGTGTCCAGTCCCTGGGACTGAGCCTTAATCTTGATTGCTCATTCACCTGCACCCGTGTGCTTTCCCTGCAGATGTTCCCTGCCTCGCTGGGTCCTCCTCAACACTTGGAAAGGGACCCGGGCCGAGGACCGGCTCCAGCCCTGGCGGAGTGCCCCCTGCTGCGTGAGGCCAGCGCCAGACCCCACCTCAGACTCATTACCTCCAGCCTGCCTGATGGGAACAAGAGGAGCCACCCATCAACCAATCCTGCTCTGAGCCTGGGCCCAGACCCAGGTGAATGCTGAAGAAGAAGGAGAAATGTGACAAATACAGGGCTTAAAGTGATCGCAGGCGGAGGTTCTGTGGAGCTGTCCTAATGCTCATGCCCTCACTTTTAGTAGCGGGAGAAGTGGGTGTCTTCCTAGACTGGGCCCAGCGGTATGCAGATGGCTTGCAAAGAGACTCGGGCTGAAGCTGTGGGTTAGTGCACCATCCAGCACCTCAGGCCGACCCTGGTGGGCGTCCCCCTGCAAGGCGGAGCCTGAATGGGCCTGCAGTGAGGTCTTCAGAATGACAGCCCTGCCTTGGAGGATGTGTCCCCGGATGATGTCACTCTATGGCCCAGTGACCATACTTGCAGTTGTCCAGGACAACATGGGCTTCTCTGTAGCCCAGACATATGCCAGGGCCCTGCCAGTGGCTGAACCCCACTGTAGGACATTCAAGCTGGTAGGCACCCCTATTTTGGGAAAAGAGAAACCACTCTTACGACAGCTGACCAAATAGCACCCGAGATCCAGGGTGGCTCCCTGCACGGCGCTGTCAACAGGTTACGGTCCTGCAGGCCCAGGCCTGGTTTGCATGGGCCAGCTCCAGGTGGGACCCAGGGGCTACGTGGGTTATGTGGCTGTGTGGCCTGGGCTCCACTAGGGTGGACAAGGAGCTGTACTTTAGGCCTCCCTTGGGTTCGAGGAAGGTGGGTGCAAAGTACACAGAAGCCTGCCCGTCTCCCAGAGGTGCTTCCTGGAAGGAACACTCTGCTTTCCACGTGCAGTCCTTGCCCACAGTTAGAGCTGGGGAGTGTGATCTGGCACACAGAAGCCCTGCCCAGTTATGCTCAACAGGCCTTAGGTGCCAGTGCCACAGAGCTGTCTCTGCTCATTACTGAAGCATTCCTTCCCAGAAAAGTAGTTCTTCCAAACCACATGCCCTCTGGTGTCCTCACAGCTGCCCAAGGGGGACCTTGCTTTCATCAGAACAGAACGCTGTGGCTACACCCCGATGATTCCTGATGTACCTCTGTAGCTCGAGACATGCACACACAATCAGCGTGATGTCGTATCCCACACCAAGCCTTAATCAGTAGCTCCGTGCCTGGTTTGGGATTGGAAGTTCCTGGTGGCAGAAGCTGCTAATCTTCATGGCTTTCACTGTAGGTGTGGGAACACTAACATGTTTTTGTGTTTACTGTTGATGTGTAGTTGACGTGGGCCTGCTATCTTAATTTCTTAATTTCTATGGGAGGTTCTTGCCTCCCACAGAGATAAGAATTCTTATCTGTACAGTAGGAACAGGACTTAGTCAAGGTGAGAGAAAAAACTTACATCCATGTGTGAGTGTGGGCCACCCCCCATGGAGAAATACCCACTAGGAGTGGGTCAGAGGGTTTCTCAAAGAGATAGGAAAGAGAATGGCACCCCCAGCTGTGGGAAAAGAGGGCTCTCTCCTGTTCTCAGCCTCGTTTATGAGGTAGTTGGTGGGGTCTTAGCATGCATGGAGCCATCTCGGAATTTTTTGTCACCTCCGCATGGATTTAATATCCACGTCACCATCATGGTATCTCCTCCTTCCTGGTCTCTGATGAGACACAGGGTAATCCTAGGAATATGGGTGCTTTGATTGACAGGTAAAGCAATAACATTAATGGTAGAACTTGGAAGAATTCCAGCTCACTTAGGCTTGCCTAGCTGCCCGCCTATTACATCATATCATAAAGATGATGCATCTGCCAAGGTAAAGCTATGCAGGGACTTGAGTGGTCAACTTTATCATGATTCAGAAAACTTCTCCAGCTAAACCAGAGGCTAGGAATTTTATTTTTTTAGGAGACTTGTTTTATTTATTTGAAAGGCAGAGAGAGAGAGAGAGAAGGAGAGAGAGAGAGATCTTCCATCCACTGGTTCACGCCTAAATGACTACATTGGCCAAGGATAGACCAGGCAGAAGCCAGGAGCATGGAACAAGGAACTCCATCCAAGTTTCTCATATGTGTGAAGGTGGGCCCAAATACTTGGGTCATTTTTCTGCTACCTCACCGGGTACACTAGCAGGCAGCTGGATTGGAAGTGGAGCACCTGGGACTTGAACTGGTGCTCTGATATAGGATGCCAGCGTAACCTGCTGCACCATAACATTGGCCCCAAGCATTTTTTTTTAAAGATTTATTTATTTATTTGAAAGAGTTACACAGAGAGAGGAGGAGAGGCAGAGAGAGAGAGATGGAGAGGGAGAGGAAGAGAGAGAGGGAGAGAGAGAGAGAGGTCTTCCATCCACTGGTTCACTCCCCAATTGGCCGCAATGGCTGGAGCTGAGCTGATCCGAAGCCAGGAGCCAAGTGCTAATTCTTGGTATCCCATGCAGGTGCAAGGGTCCAAGAATTTGGGCCATCTTGTACTGCTTTCCCAGGCCACAGCAGAGAGCTGGATAGGAAGTGGGGCAGCCAGGACTAGAACCGGTGCCCATATGGGATGCCGGCACTGCAGGTGGTGACTTAACCTGCTATGCCACAGCGCCGGCCCCCTCAAGTATTTTCTACAACTTCCTGAAACACCCTCACGTTGCCCTCCAACGGCATGAATTCATGAGAACAATCATCGTCCCTACTCCCTGAGGATGGATGACTAAGTAGAAGGGCGGCATTGAAACCGAGCCCCTATACGATTCAAATCCATCTACGAAAACATCACAGCCAGGAGGAGGCTAAGGAAACGTGACCATCGACCACAGTGTGGTGTCCTGGACAGACAGACAAAGGACACTAGGTAAATACCAAGGGATCATGAATAAACTATGGACTTGCATGAATAATCATGGATCAACAGTGGTTCATCAGTTTAGCAAACGTGCTGGTGTGAGATGCTACCAAGAGGGGGCGCTGTGCAGGAGTGGGCATTTGAAACATCTTAAGTGCTCAGTATTTCAGTTCATCTGATCTGCCCCCCAGAAATAAATCATATTAATGAAAAATGGGCTCCCCTTTATTTGAACTCCTCTGATGTCTTCCTGGGGATGTTGCAGAACAACCTCCTTTCCTCCCCAAACGAGTTGGAGGAGTTGCTACAGAGCCCCAAAGTGGGTTTGCTTGTCAGACAGCAAGAAAGCCAGTCTCTGACCATGACATGGTGGAAGACAAGAATTTACCTGGAAAGCATAGCCAAATTTCCATTCTCTCTTTCTGTCACTTTGCCTTTAAATCAATAAAATAAGTATTTTTTTAATAGCATTTCTTTTTTCCTGCTACATCCCCCATCCTCTTTGGGGGAACACCTAGATCCCTGTTTCCCCATCCTCAGAAATAGTCCTCTGTTGTCCACCATTTTGCTTCTCTCTCAGTCTGGCTTTCAAAGATGAAAGAGAACAATGTCTTCTGCTGAAAGGCCAGAATCCTTGCCAGGCCGCTGATGCCAGCACGATGTGCCGTGTTCGAGGTCCCCCACGTCCTCGTGCAGCAGCCAGTGTCTTGACTCTTGCCACACCCACTAACTGCACCGCAGCTGAGCTGCTGGTGCCACTTGGGATCTGAGATTCCCTGCGAGTCGTGTGAAGTAATTCTTTGGTTTCCTTGCTCATTACTGCAAGTCTTTCTACTTGGGGCCCAGACGGCAACCTAGGGCAGTCCGAGAGCAGATACTGTATCACTCAGCTCAGAGTCATTCCTCTGCTCTCCTTGACTCCACGAACCCTGGGAACTCTGGCTTTTGCAAGTTTGACTGTGAGAGGCTGCAAAATGTTCTTGGAAAATCTAATCAACATATAGGTTTCTTCTGATGAAGATCGAATCTATGCACATTGAGGGGTCTTTGAAAGTTCAGGGAAATGTGTATTATGAAAAGACTATGCGTGGATTTCAAAATTATTGTGTCCCCAAATAAACTTATCTTTTAATTCATCTCAGGGTTAGGCCCTGCCATGAACCAAGAAGTTTCTTGACAACTTAAGCAATGAGACTGACATGTCTCCCGCAAGGGGAGCAGCGCAGCTCACATCCCACCGAAGTGCTCCTGTTGGTGTTTGGAGTCTTCCGTGACTTCTTGCTCAGCAGGGCTTCCATGGCACTCTCACGCCCTGTTCCTTTTCTGTCTCCAGGCTCAGCCCTGCGACTCCTCCTCAGACCCCCAGCCCAGCCCGTGGGATGACCTTGCACACAAACATCTTGTGACTCCTCAGGCATCTCCTGCCTCTGGGCTTTCCCCAGGATGTCCACGTTGGCTGACCGCCCTCCTCTGACCACCGCCCCAAAGCATCATAGCATCTTCCTGCATTTCCACCACTGCCTCACCCCACTGCGTCAGCTGCCTGTTGATGTTTAATAAATCATTCCTGAACTTGGTGGCTGAAAACAGCAAACACTCATTGTATCGCAGGTTCTGTGAATCAGGAATGCAGGCACAACTTGACCGGGTCTTCTTAGCCAGCGTCCCCTGGAGGACTACAGTACAAGGTGGTGGCTGGAGAGTGGTCTCATCTGAAGGTTCAGCTGGGGCAGGAGCCACTTCACAGTCCACTGACAGTGCTGTGGGCAGGATTCAGCTCCACACTGGCTGGTGACTGAGGATTGGGTGCCTGGCTGGCTACTGACCACAGACCTCCCTCATGTCCTTGTGATGGGGTCTTCTTCATAGGCTGCCTCACTACCTGTTAACTGGTTTCTCTTAGAATAAGCAAGAGATCAATTTGGGTTGAGCAACAAAGAAACTAGAGTCTTTTTGTGATCAAGTTTCAGAAAAGACATTCCATCACTTTTGCCATATTCTCTTTATCAGAAGCAAGTTGTGAGGCTCAGCCCACATTCATGTGAGGGATTGTACAGGACGTGGACCCCAGGAGGAGGAAGCATGGTGGGGGGGGTTGTGGTCACCCTGCAGAAGTCAACAAACACTCATCCTCACTGGTCTGGATGTCAAGAGAGATGATGCCACGTACACGTACACACACGTACACTCACACACGCACACACACACACACTCGCACATCCCCAGAATGGTATGAAAAGATTTATTACTCACAGAATGAGACTTTCTGGGAAAAACATAGCAGGCACAAAAGCCAGCCTGGAATGTCGAGTGAAAAGAGAAGCCAGTGGCTTTGGTTTTTATTGTGGTGAAGGGGTGGGGCTATGGTGAGGGTTCCCACGGGAATGGGGTTTGAATGCCTTCAGAGTCTCCCTCTGCACCAAGGGAGGGAGCCCTGCAGTGCTGTTCCTCCCCATCCCGACTTTTGGGGGGCAAACAGGGAAGAGGGAGGGAGGGCATGAAGGTTATCAGGGGTCAAACAGCAAAAGTGAAGCTGGAGTCAGACTCCTTGTTACTGGCGGTTGTTTTAGAGGTGGATACTGTATTCATTGTCCTTTAATCATTTATCGACTTGTCTGTCTTTTACAGGATAAAGAATATCATTGTTTTGTTTTTATGTTCTCAACACCCAGTGCAGTGGCTGACATATCATGGTCCCTCAAAAAATGTCTGTTGAATGAATAACAGAGTGGCTGGATGGACTGTCCCTCTTTCTGGTGATTATTTGCCTGCCTGTTGTGTATCTGTTGTCCTCCCGAGCCTCAGCTCAGTCATCTTGGTGGTGTGCTCCTGATCTGTCCTCTCTGGTGGGACTGCCCCAGCCACTTCTCTGCGCTCAGCTGCGCTGGGGGCAGACTTCTCTGTTTGACTGAGACTCCTGGAAGCTAAGGACTGGGCCTGTCACGTTGTGCCCTCAGTATCCGACGCAGTATCTCACAGAGCAGGTGTTCAGCTAAGTGCTGCAGGAATTCTGCAGTTCCAACATAGGAGATTTTCAACCTGGATCTTGAAGAATCATAAAAAGAGGTTTGACAGCATGAGTGCAGGAATGTGGGGGCTTTGGAGAGAGAATAATGTAGGCACAGTGAGTGTCTGAAACAAAAACAAAGAACCGGAGCAAATGGCGCGTTCAGGTGATGGTAAGACTTGACTGGAGATGAGGCTGACAAACAGGTTCTCAGCAGGTTGTAAAAGCTTGCAGACAGTGCTGAGCAGGGCAGGGCTGCTCTGTAAGACAAAGGGGAGGAGTTTTTTTTTTTTTTTTTTTTTTTTTTTTTAAAGCTGGGTACAGTTGTAAGATGCGTTTGAGCAGGGAATGGTCTGGAATGAGTCAGGGATGAGGAACTGGCCCTTCTCCTGGAACGGCGTGAACTCCAGCTGGAAGAAATCACAGTGCAGGTGGGAGACAAGCATCCGTGTTCTGAAAGCGAAGGGGAGGCATCCAGGAGCTGCAAGCAGGGGCTGCAGGGCCTTGAGAAATCGGCTTCAGAAGGGTCGTGGCGGCTGGCGCTGCGGCTCACTAGGCTAATCCTCCGCCTTGCGGCGCCGGCACACCTGGTTCTAGTCCCGGTCAGGGCGCTGGATTCTGTCCCAGTTATCCCTCTTCCAGGCCAGCTCTCTGCTGTGGCCCGGGAAGGCAGTGGAGGATGGCCCAAGTGCTTGGGCCCTGCACCCCATGGGAGACCAGGAGAAGCACCTGGCTCCTGGCTTCGGATCAGCGCGGTGCGCCGGCCGTAGCAGCCATTTGGGGGGTGAACCAACGGAAAAAGGAAGACCTTTCTCTCTGTCTCTCTCTCTCTCAGTGTCTAACTCTGCCTGTAAAAAAAGAAAGAGGGTCGTGTCGACGTGTAGACAGCCCGGATACCGCAGAGCATCACCCAGGAAGGGCGGATTAGTTCTGTCTTGACCGTTGATGGATCTGTGACCTCAGTGAGGACGCCGGCTCCCTTCTGGGTGAGGCACACAAAGTGTGGCAGTTGCGCAGGCTTGACTGTTGTGGATAGCCGAGGAAGAGAAGCAGGCGAGTTCCTCTCTGTGGTGGAGGCAGAGATTTTCTGGTTGGGGTCCGTTCTCCTTCCTGTGGCTTGAATGTGGCCTGTGCCCCCTGAAGTGCTTTGCTTCCCAGCCTAGCAATGGCCAGAGGCGCTGGGAGCTGTCGGCGGTGATCAGGTCGTGGGGCTCTGTCCCCAGGGCCAGCTGAACGCGGTTCCCCCGAGAGTGGATCGATTCCTGCAGAAGCAGCTGCCGCGGCCCTTTGTCCTCTTCCTCCCTTCCCATGCACCTGCTGTCTTCCACTTTGCTCCACGAGGCCTCACCAGAAGCCAAGGCCAGAGCCGTGCTCCTGGGCTTCCAGAACTGTGAGCTGCATAAGCCTCTTTTCTTTATACAAGATCCAGTGTCGGGTTTCCAGCTGTAGAGACAGAAAACAGACCGAGACTCTTCTACATGTAGTAAAGCTCTAGTGAGGTGCAAAACGGGACATGGGACGAAGAGACGGCCGCCAGCTCGGTTTCACAGCTCGTGTCGTCCTACAGAGCAACCAGAGAATGCTGCATGGAACCTGTGTGCCAAGGATTTCCCGAATATCCGAGCTGGTAGTTGTCTCAGAGTCCACCACGTATTCTAGTTGGGTTCTCTTTCTCCTGGCCCAACAGTTTTCAGACCTCTCACCTAACATCAGTTGTAATTTTAGCATTGGACGAGTAACTTCCTAGGTAAGGAACCAAGTTGTTAGGAACACATCGTGAACATGACTAGCTCAAGGTCACGCAGTGGTTTAGGGGAAGAGTAGAGCCTAGAACTCCTAAGCTTTAGATCAATGAAAACAACCCCTGAACGGGCAAAAGCAAGGTTCCATATTAAATCAAGGTAAAACTGAGTCCCGCTGTTTTGGCTAAGTGCTGTGCTGTGATGTTTCAGCTCTTACCTGCGGCAGACCCTCTCAGACTTTGAGCTTCCTGGTGTATTTGATGTATCATATTGGGCCAATACAAGGGATCTGCAAAAGATTCGTGGAAAATGCATAGTATAAAAAAGCTGCATGGATTTCACCATTTTTTTTTTCACTCAAACAAGCTTAGCCATTTTTTTTTTCTTTGAGAGGGAGAGATAGAGCTCTCATCAACTGATTCACTCCATAAATGCTCACAAGGGCTGGGGTTGGGCCAAGCCAAAACCAGAAGCTAGGGGCTCAATCCAGGTCCCCTGTGGGTGTGGTAGGAACCTAGTTAATTGAGCTCTCACCTACTGCCTCCTGGAGTCTGCGTTAGCAGAAAGCTAGAGTCAGGAGCCGGAGCCTGGGATCAAAACCAAATACTCGGATGTCTTAACTGCTAGGCCGAGTGCCTGCCCTTAAACTTATTTTTTAATTCCACTTTGCCATGAGCTTTTGGAGATTTCCTGCTATGGTTCACCCTGTGTAGGCCTGAGGACTGCACACGATGTTTCGTTTCCTTCTTCATTTGTTTTTCTCCTCTGAGAGAGGGAAAGATGGAACAAGGAAGCTAAAAGCCAGGCTCACCGGCAGGCAGGAGAGGGACTCAGAAGGCCAGAAGAGCAGGCGTCTGAGTGTGCAGGAGGCTTGGTCCCACCCCCACAGCTGCAGGGGGTGGCGTGACCAGCTGAGAAATGCACCTGCCCCTGTGCGCCCCTCAAGGAAAGGGGCCGCTCCTTGTGGTGGGTGTTAGGCCTCTGCAGAAAACAGCTGTGGATGAGAAAGCTTGCGTGGTTCCCTCCTAACCCTGCCCACACTCTGAATGATCAGAATTTTGGCAAAAGCAGCCTCCCTTTAAATTTAGTATTGCTTAGTTACTCTTTATGATGAAACCCATACTCTCAAAAGTACAGAAGATCATAATTGTACCTGATTTTTCTGAGCTTACATGGTCACAATAATGTAATGTTAGGTGTCCTGATGGATATCTTATTACTAGTAGGTTTGGCGTGTGCAGACAGAAGTTTCAAGTTACCGTAAGTAGATTCTAGACCATGTGTTGTTCATTTCAGATCTCCAGAACCAGGGAAACGACATGCACGTCAGAATTTAAACGCACGGAGTTGTTGCTGCCTTCGTTAAACACAGCAAGTGTTTTTGTTTCCTTGGTTTGTGGATGAGTTTTGTGATCAATGTGTTTGACATGGATGAAATGAAGGTTTGCATGCTAATTCCTTTAAAACAAAGTTAGCGCATGATCTTCCCGGTGCCAGACACTTCACCGTCAACCACGAAGACCTCAAATATTTTTCTAGGAGATGAGTTTAAACAAAAAGCCATTTGCTGACACTTCAGACAGGAGTTTGAGACGCGCACGAGAGGATGCGATGCTGTGTTCTGGCTCAAAGCCAGAAAGTTCTGTTTCCTTCCCAACATTTTATTTCCCCAAACTCCAGAAGAAGTGACAGGTTATTTTGTCTGTAATGGTGGTTATTTTCAACTTCAAAAACTTTTCTGTGATCTTAAAACCTTATAATTTGTTCACAGTCACAAGTTAATACAAGCACTGACCAGCATCTGTATGTAATTTTAGCTGAGAGATTCAGCGGGGACTTGGAGTCCATCTAAGTTTGTCCAGAACGAGCCTGCTGCTGGCTTAGCAGCGAGTGAGCGGAGCTCCAGCCTGGGGTTGGGAGCGTGTACATTGGTGTGTCACTGGGGACCCGCTTGTCATCTGGCCGTGTGGAGGACCAGGAGGGAGAGGCAGGGACAGAGAGATCTGTGCAGGACTCTGCTGGACCAGGCTCTTCCCTGTACTCATCGGTTCTGTTACTGCGATGAAATACCCCAGGCTGGGTGACTTTGTAAAGAAAAGAGATCTCCTTGGGTGCATGGTTCTGTCCCAGGCTGAGGGCCCCCCGAAGATGGCCTTCTTGCTGGCAGGGTCCTGAGGCCGTGCACGGAACACAAGCTGGCATGTCCTCTGCTCCCCTCGTCTCTGCTTACAAAGCCAGTGGGCTTTTGTCATGGGGTGCCACCCCATACTTACCTGGTCCCACACACCTCTCAGGACCCCACTGCTAAGCTCCGGGGTGGGATGAAGCCTGCGCCCACCTCAGACCCCACAGCAGAGCGTAAGCCAGCAGCAGAGCTTGCACGGGACCAGCCGTCACGTCTGCGGCGTACTCGGGCCTGGAGGAAAGCTCTCTGCGGTGCTGGCACTGCGCCTTTTCTCAGAGCAGCCTCGACTGGTGACGCCACGCAGTGCGCCTCGGGCCTGCCCCCCTGGCCAGCAGTGACGCCCCGGCCGCCCTCTCTTTTCTCTCAGGCTTTCCCTGAGGGGCGACTGCCTTTCTGGAGATGCAGGACACGATAGCGAAGTGGCCTGGGGAGAGGACAGGGATGCCTGTCATGGGCAGGGCTCCTCCCGCCCTGTGGGGTCATCCTGGGGAAGTGAGGCATAGCAAATTTTAGAAAGGAAAAAAAATGTTTGTTTAGAAGGAAGGGGGAGAAAAGAAAGATTCAATTTGGTGTCTGGTTGAAGTCCCAACTAACTAAAAAAAAAAAAGAAGTATGGGGGCCGGCGTCATAGCACAGCTGGTCAAGTCAACGCTGACCATGCCAGCCTCCCGTAAGTGTGCTGGTTCGAGTCCCGGCTGCTGTACTTCTGATCTGTGGGAATGCACCTGGGAAGGAAGCAGAAGATGGCCCAAGTGTCTGGGCCCCTGCCACCTACGTGGGAGACCTGGATGGAGTTCCAGCCTCCTGGCTTTGAGCCTGCCTGGCCCCAGCTGTTGCATCCGTCCAAGGAGTGAACCAGCAGATGGAAGGTGTCTCTCTCTCTTGCTCTCTCTTTAACTCTTCCTTTCAAATAAATAAATAAATCTTAAAGAAGTATGAAGCTAGGAAGTATCCCACCTTGTTAAGAAGTCAGTAGAGTTGAAGAGAGCTTCCTGTTTATGGGGCCTTCGGCCATGTGTGGGCGGTGTCAGTAGAGCGATCGTGATCATGAGTTGAAAACAACTGATGGCAGCCGTATGCTGCCTTATTATGTGCAGTCTGTATCTGCACTGGGATGTCGTTAGATAAGGTCACTTTCATCGCTAGTCAACCTGATGGGGAAAAGTTTGGGTGGAGCAGCCTCCTTGTAGAAGCCTCCAGAGCCCTCCTCATCACTTCAAACAGCACCAGGGACTTCAGTTGCCATCTTCCGTGCAAGCCCAAGGGACAGACAGGGCGCTTTGTGGTGGCAGCAGAGGGCTGGCAGCGAGAAGTCTCTAACAATGCTTCTGTTATCTGTTTCCAATTCTTGCAGCATGGAGTTGGAATCCAGAAAATTTGCCGCCTTGAATAATTCAGCGTTTGGATAGGGTGGGGGTTTGAGACGGTTTGATCGACTTTTCTTCAACATTTTCTGTCCGCCTTGTTTTCATGCTGAAGCTCCTGTCCCGCCTCCTTTACTCTGTGTTCTTCGATTTGTGCATCACAGTGATGGTCTGTTTTGGACACACTGAGCAGGACGGGTCACCAGAAATCAGTCAGCCTGCATCTTACAAACCTCCGTGGCTCTACAACCCCCTCAGCCCTCTCTGAGGTCTAGGAGAGCATTGGAGCTCACGAGCACCTGGGATTTTCATGCAGAAAAGGGCCTGACCCTTAAAGACTTGGAGTGGACTCTGGAGACTTCCAGAAAGCAAAGGAGCTTCTAGCACAGGCCACGGCCAGGAGGACCCTCATTCGGGTCGCTCGTGAGGCAGAGACAGGCCGTCTGAGGGAGGCAGGCTCTGTCAGACCAATCATGGGTGTCACGTGCAGTTTCTCAGTGTTAGCTTCATGATATGCTTGTGTTTTCTTTTGATCTTTTTTTTTAAGTTTATTTATTTGAAAACCAGAGTTACTGTTAGAGGGAGAAACAGAAAGAGAGAGAGAAACAGTGATTTTCCATCCACTGCTTCACTCCCCATTTGGCTGCAGTGACCAGGACTGAGCCAGGGCGAAGCCAGGAGCCAGGTGATTCATCCGGGTCTCCCACATGCGAGCCAGGACCCACGCACTCAGGGCATCTTCTGCAGATTTCCTAGGTGCATTAGCAGAGAGCGGAAGAGAAGTGGAGCAGTTGGGACTTGAAGCCGTGCCCCTATGAGATGCCAGCACTGCAAATGGTGGCTTAATGTGCTGTGCCACAGTGCCAACCTCTTCTTTTGATTTAAGAAAATAATGGTTGTTTAAGCAGCATGAAAATGTTAATAAAAATGTAGACAGGGCCAACGCTGTGGCGCAGTGGGTTAACGCCCTGGCCTGAAGCACCGGCAACCCATATGGGCGCCGGTTCAAGACCTGGATGCTCCACTTCCAATTCAGCTCTCTGCTATGGCCTGGGAGAGCAGTAGAAGATGGCCCTCCCGGTTGCCCTTCTTCCAGGCCAGCTCTCTGCTGTGGCCCGGGAGTGCAATGGAGGATGGCCCAAGTGCTTGGGCCCTGCACCCCATGGGAGACCAGGAGAAGCACCTGGCTCCTTGCTTCGGATCAGCGCAGTGCGCCGGCCACAGCATGCCGGCCGCGGCGGCCATTGGAGGGTGAACCAACGGCAAAGGAAGACCTTTCTCTCTGTCTCTCTCTCTCACTGTCCACTCTGCCTGTCAAAAAAAAAAAAAAAAAATGGCCCAAGTCCTTGGGCCCCTACACCCACGTAGTAGACCTGGAAGAAGCTCCTGGCTGCTGGTTTCAGATCGGCGCAGCTCCGGCTGTTGAGGCAAACTGGGGAGTGAACCAGCAGATGGAAGACCTCTCTCTCTCTCTGCCTCTCCTCTCTCTATGTAACTCTTTCAAATAAATAAATAAATCTTTAAAAAATTAAAAAATGTAGACATATTTAAAGTACCACCCTTCTCTCTTGTCTGTCTCCTCCTGCAACACTCACCCGTACTTGTCCACACTTCATTCTCTCCTGCTTCAAGCAGCCTGTGTGCACCTGCTAGAGGGCCAGCCCCATACAGAGCTCCCAGCTCTTGGACCCGGAAGCTTCATGACTCCAGAGACAGAGTTCTGTCTCCCTGCCTCTGTACACAACACTTCCATGAACAATGCTCACCCATCAAGACTGGGTCCCTGCTGCTGAAGTAGTGAGGCACTTGGAATGGGGAGGCCAGTCCACGGGCCTGCAGCTGGCAGCCTCGCCAGGGTCCAGGAGTTGGAGCAGGGGAGGGCCAGGTCCCCTCCAGGAGGAAGCAGGGGCGTGCTCAGCACACGCGTGTGGATGTGCGCAGTGTGGGAGGCTGAGGATGGAGTGAGGACCTGAGGGTAGCCAGATCCGTTTTGCAGGATCTGGTGATGATGTCACCTACGGAAGGTAGCCAGGGGCTCCTCATCCATTCGGTGGACATCTGCTAGGTGTGAACAGGGCTCTTCTCCTGCGCTGGGATACGGGGCCGAGTGGCAGCTCCCCTCCCCCAGGAGCAGGGGTTCACCCAGGCTGCGACTCTCACAGCAGTGTCTCCTGCACTCACCGGGGAGTTTCAAGTCACTTCTGCAGGGCCCCCGAGGCCCCCGCCCCGCATTCACAGCTGCCTTGCTCGCTGCCCGCGCTCAGTTTGGCCCTGCCACCTCTCCTTTCCCACCGCTGTTGTCTTCCCCTGGGGGATGAAGTGGCCTCCGGTCCTCCAGTGAAGAACCCTTCCCTGACTCACGGAACATCCGCTGTTGTTCCCTAGGGATCCGAAGACACAACCTTGATGAGACATCATTTCCGAGGATTCTCACCAGAGACTCCCAGTGGAGGGGAGCTGGTGCAGTGTGCCAAGGCTCC